CCCCAGGGCAGGGCAGGGCCTCCCCTTCAGGGCAGGGCTATGGCTCCCCACTCAGATCCCCCAGGGCCGGGCCAGGCCTCCCTCCTCAGATTGGCCCCCTTCCACACTCCCACCCCACACAGGTTGCCAAGATGGGCCAGGCCATCCACCTCCAGCTTTGTTCGGTCCGAATTCCCCAAGCCAAGGAGAACGCCCTGAAGGCCGTCACCCTGCTGGCCCGGAGCCACACCTCTGAACTGGTGGCCACCTTCCTGGACTTCTCCATACCTCTGGACAGGTGCCCAGCCGCACAGGGCCCCACGGTCCACCCTGTGTCCTCCTCCCCAGGCGGGAGTCAGGACTTGGCCCCCAGCCCCCTCACGGCTCATGACCCCCTCAGGTCAGGGATCCCCACAGACAGGTTCAGGGCAGGCTCTGGGTGGCACCGTCTGTGCTGCCTTGCCCGCCCATCCCCATATCCTCTGTCAGTCACCAGCCCTACTTTTTGGTTTATTTGCCCACTGCCCCCGTGTCTGCACCTGCCTGGGGCTTTGCTGTAGGTGTGTGTCACTCTCCGGCACACAGACTGGGCCTGGCTTCAGAGGTGTCTGGATCCCATTACCAGATACCCGTATGACTAACATGTAGTAACATTTACCGTCATTCTGTTATATTTGACAGGCTTATTGTTAGGATTGGGTTCTTGGCTATTTCACCGTAAATACTCTAGAGGAAGGTTTGAATGTTGGTTCTAGTTGCTGCTTTGTCTTAACCATGTTCTACTGCCCTCCTCCCCTGGGTTTTGATTTCACTTTTTCCTGTCTGGTCTGTGTGTCCACCGACCCACTGTCCTCAAGTCGATCCCCGTTGGAGGCCTGTGTTGCCTACGCGTGAGCTGGTCATATCTCTCTTTCTGTCTCCCTGACCGCAGGACTTTGCCTTTGTTACGCCGGCCCTCGGGTTGTCTCCCCTTATCCCGTGTGTGTGTGTGTGTGTGTGTGTGTGTGTGCTGATCTTAGTTCAGTGAAGCTCATCTCCCGGGAGATTCCTCAGGAAGGAACTCACAGGTTCAGAATTTCCTAAAGGCTTTGATGTTGGAGCTTCTTCTCTAGAGGATGGCTTGGCTCTGTGTAAAATCCTTGGTTCACACTGTGCTTCATGAATGTGTTAAAACATTGCCCCGTTGTTGCCTTTCTTTGTGAGAAGACTAATGCTAATTTTTTTCACCTTTGCACAATAGTTGAGCTCTGCCCAGAGGCCTTGGAGACTTTATCTTTGAAATCTTACCCTGTTACTGGGGTGTGTGTTACTGGGGTGCATATCAGGTTGGTCATTCTGAGTTAATTTTCCCAAGTATCTGTTGTGTCCTTTCAATATGTGGCCTCAGGGTTTTTGGTTATTTCTGGCAAGTTCTCTTACGTATAGTTGTAAGTACAGCACGAGACAGTATTAGCAGAACCGAAGAGGCCTTTCCATGCGGGAGCCTGGGGGTGTCTCTTCTGCTGACTCTGTCTCTGAGACTACATGGTTCTGCCCGCTGTGGTTTTTCTCAAGGGACCAGTTGCACAGTGGTTCTTCCTTCCTGTCTGTCTTCCATGCCCACTGCTGCCTCTGACCCTGTGACCTCTCTCGATTGTGCCTTCGTTGCGTTGGTTGTGATGCTGTCCTTCGATGCCCGTTTTCAAACCTCTCTCAGGTCCTTGGTGATTTCTTCTTCATTCCTCAGGAGGTTCTGCCTCTCGCCTATGCCTCCTTTAGTAGAGGCTACTCTCCTTCCATGGCTCACTGCTTTTTGCCTTATTGCATGTCTAACCTGAGGTGGCTTTCCCACTTCAAGGCTGGTCTGAGGACGTCTGTCTGAAGGTGGGGTGGTGCTGTACAGTTTTGCTTTGTTTTGTGTCTGCTTCATGGTTGTGTGCAGGGAGGAGATGCTGCACTCGACGTGTGTTGATTTGTGTTTCCTGATTGTTGGCAATAATTATGTGATGTGCTGCTGTCTTTGCCGCTGGAGTCCTTTTGTAGGAATTTGGGTCCAACAGCACCCTCTTCTGTCAGATAATTCAGTAGCTGTCCTGGGTGTGTTTTGGTGGTGGGGTAAGAGGCCATGTCTTCTTTGTTTCCTTGATTTGGCTTGGTTCTCTTTAAAAACAACAACAACAACAACCTCATGGGATTGGTTCCTTATTTGGAGGTTTAGGTCATGGTTTCATGGGCCAGCCCAGTTAATAACATGTTGAGTGATTCTATTCTACTTCCTAGTTCACTGTGTAGTGCCTGGGGTCTTAAAAGCTTGCAGCTGGCCATCCAAGGCACCACAGTGGGTCTCTATTCACCTGGAGCAACAGAGGAAAGAGAGTCAGGAATAGGAGGAGGAGATGGACTATGGAACTAATTGCCTCCATGAACTGCCTCCTTTGCTGTGAGACCAGAACTGGATGGTACCCAGCTATCATTACTGAACAGTTTGACCAAAGATTCTACAGAAGAATCCTAATCAAAAGGGGGGAAAATGCAAAGCATAATTTCAAATTCTCACGGACCTCAGACTTTCTGGAGCCATGGAGGCTGAATGAACCCCTGAAGCTATTGCCGTGAGATAATCTTTAAACCTTGAACCAAACAATAGTTTAGCTCGACTAGTAAAAAAAGTCCACCTTGGGCATTGTGCTCTTTAAAGAACCACCCGTGTGGGACCACATTGACAACAACAACTCGAAAGATGAGAGCCAGCGAGTGCCTGTTAATGGGGGAGGAGCAACTCAGAAAAGGAGGGTGAGGACGGGGCACAACTCACAGAGTGTGGGCAGCGTCACTGAGTTGTACATGGAGAACCTGTTGACCTGGTGTGCGGTTAGATTCTCAACAACAGAAGTAGAATAAATCATTAAAAAGAAAGAAAGAAAGAAACAGAACCCCCCATAGCTGCTGAGTCTGCCCTGACTCGTAGGCCCTCATGGGTGTGGGTCCTCGTGGGCATGGGCCCTCATGGGTGTGCTGCCCCCCACGTGTCCAGAGCAGAACGGGGCCACAGAAGGTTCTCTTGGCTGTGGCCTCTACGGAAGCAGATCACCAGGCCCACTCTCTCATGGTGCCGTTGGGTGGGCTTGAACCGCCAACCCTCAGGTTAGCAGACAAGCGCAGAACACTTCTGCCTCCAGGGACCTTCCTCTACTCGTCTCTTGCTGCTTTCCTGCTCCACCAGCCAGTTTCCAGAGAGGCGTCTCCTTCCTCTTCCTCCTCCTCCCCTCTCGTTTCCCAGAAGTCCTGCCGTCTGGAGGCTGCTGCAGTGGGCTTCCTTTTAGGCCCCTTCCCTGCGGCCCAGACTCAGGCCCCTGGACTCTTTTTCTTTTTTTTTTTTTTCAGCCTTAGGGTGAACTCTGTCTTCCCTGTTGCTAGCTCCTTTGTTTTTCACTTGGCTTCTGTTGTTTCTCAAGGAAACGTGGGGAGGCAGGGACCTAGGCAGCCGCCATTGTCTTCAGCCCCTCAGAGGTCCAGTCCGAGTTGAAACTGCATGTGGTCTCCATTCCAGCACACACTTTTTCACATTTTAGCCTCTGTGACAGGAGGCACATTTTACCCTGCTGGCGTCTTCCCACAGGGTTGATGAGGGCTTCTGCCTGTCACCTGGGAGCATGAGTTAGATTTAAAAGCCACACAGGTAGTGTGGACAGAGAGGGCAAAGCAGGTTTGTGGGTCATGTCCTCCATAACCACCCCCCACGGTTATCAGGGGATGGAGGTAAGCCGGCTCCCCGTGGTCTCTTTCAGGGGCAGGTCACTGACCAAGCAGCCCTTTGGGGGCCCAGTTCTGTGTCAGGAGTCCCACTAGATTCCCGTCTTGAAGGACATTTCCTTTCTTAGAAGTGCGTGAGAGAGCAGTGGATGTGTCCTATAGGTGTAAACAGATGTGTGCAACACGCCCTCTTCCGCCATGTCCTGCTGTGTGACTTCTTTCTTGGAGCATTGCCTCAGGTTCACCCACGGCACCCCTGGCTGTGGGCCCTTTGTTTTCCTGCTGCACAGTGTCCCGGTTCTCCAGTGCTGCTGGGACTGAACTGCCACAGGGGGTGGCTTTAACAAACAGGTCTATATTCTGACAGTTCAGGAGAAGCCCCAGGGCGGGGCCCCAGCTCAGGGGGAAGGCTGTGTCTCTCTGCTGGGTCTGGGGGAAGGCCCTTGTCTCTTCTGGTTCTGTCTTCTGGTTCCTTGGAGACCTCCCTGTGGCGGAGCACCAATCTCCCCCCATCTCATTTGTTTGTTTCAACTCTTTTATATCGCAAAAGAAATCAACTCAAAACACCCTGTGTTAATCCTGCCTCATTAACATAACAAAGGCAGCCTTCCCAAATGGGCTTCTAACTGCACCGAGGGGAGGATTCATAGCATGTTTCAGCAAAGTGCCACCTGATGAACAACAGCGGTTCTTTCCACCATGGAGGGACTCTGATGAGCAAGGTGGCTGTGACCCTTCCTTCCTTGTGTACCCGGGTCCATGCTCACACTAGCCTCTTATCGAGCCTCCTGTCCAGGCTGCTCTTCACCCACAGCTGGGATGCTCCTAAAACCACCTCCCCGCTGCCTGCCATCTTCAATGGCTCCCCAGTGCCCACAGGACACAGTGACTGTCACCTCCCTCCCCTTGCTCCCTGACCTCCAGCCACTCCGCCTGCCTTGCACTTCCTCTCCTGTCTCTGGGCTCTGCACGTGTTGTTCCTCTCCTCCTGGGTAATCCCCACTAGCTTCTGGCACCAACCAGGGCTACTTCCTCTTGGAAGCCTTCCCTGACCACCCATCCAGCTCTGGATTGTTGAGGTCCAACCCCTTGGGCCAGGGGGCCAAGTTAAGGGTCCAGCCCAGCTCTGCCCCAGGCCCTGGTCACGGTGGCCTGTCTCTCGCCCTCTCCGTCCACCTGCAGCCACGCCTGCCAGCTGTGGAGGGCCCTGGGCGCCGAGCAGCCTACAAACCGTCTGGTGCTGGCTACACTGCTGGCCTGGTTACAGGAGCGGCCCCTGCCCACCTCGGCCGGTGATGGCAGCCCACTGCGGCCCAAGTACAAGGCCTACCTGCGCTCGCTGGCTGTGAGTCTCTGCCCCACCCCTGCGTGCCATCTCCAGGTCTGACCTCATTCGGGCTTCGTCCGGACATGGCGTCTCCGGGCACCTACTGTGGTCCAGGCCCCAGGGAAGGATACGGCTGTGGAAGCCCGGGCAGCCCTAGCCTGGACGGAAGGGGCCGAGGCCTGGCAAGGAGACTCTTGGGGGTGGGGGCTCCAGAGAGCTGGCAGAGGTGGAGGCCAGGCCTGACAGGAGAGCCATGTGGCCACCGGGACTTGGTGCTGAAAACACCGGGGGGCCCTGAGGCTTCTGAGCGGGAGGTGGGGGGGCCGGGGCAAGTTGTGCAGGACAGTGAGCAGCCTCCCTGAGCCCAGGACCTCGCACCCCTGTGCCCACAGGCCATGAACACGCTCCACGAGCTGCAGTTCGCGCGTGAGTTCAAGCGGGCCATGCAGGAGGCCTTCCCCGAGCTCCTGCTGGCCCTACTCTGCCAGGTGCTCTATGTCCTGCAGCTGAACCTGCCCAGGGAGCCCTGCCCCGAGGCCCAGGAGGCAGCCGGGCCCAGCCCCCTCAGGTGAGACTCACACAGGTGAGGTGCCCACCCAGGCAAGGAGGGGCCCGCCCGCCAGGGGCCAAGGCGGCCATCAGCTGGGTGAGCACCCACAGTCCTGGCAGATCGCTCGTGACCGCTGGCCTGCAGGGGCCCCACGGGGACGCCACCGCATACCCACCCAGGACGCACTCTCTGACGGAGTGTGGCTCAGTGAGAGGGTATCATCTTCCCTGTCATATAAATGGGGAAACTGAGGCTCGGAGGCTGTCAGAGGGTCCCCCCGCCTCACACAGGGTAAAGCCCCACAGAAACAACAGGATGATCCCTGTTCACCCCAGTCGGAACCCCCATCCCTCAGGAGTCTTACTTGCCGGCTGCCTGCAGCTCCCCGTACCCCCAGCCCGGCTGGTATTTTGAGAAATCCAACAAGCAGGTTGAGCCTTTCCATTTGTCTGTATTAAGAAGCACTTCACACCATTCGTCAGTCTCCCCGTGGTCCCCAAGGCTCTTCAGAGAGAAAAATGTCCCTTCTGTCAGATTGCTTCAGAATTCCAATGCGAAAAATGCTCCTTTTTTATTCAGATCAACATGCAAAACTCATGAATCTTCCCTAATGAGCTACTAAAAAGTCCCCTCCGGAGTTGGAGGGGGAGCAGAGGGAAGCCCG